GGGACACGAGCCAGCCTTCACTCCCCACGTGCATCAATAAGGCTTGGCCACCCATGACCGTTGGCTGTGCTCTGGTTTTCCTGGACCACTTTTGGTAGGTCCTGGCCACTGCAGACTGGGAACATCTCAAAAGAACTGCATGGTTTTGAAGTTGCTCTGAGCCAGTCTTCTAGACATTACAATTTGGCCCTGATCAAATCCTTTGCTTGCCCATTTTTTCTGCTTTCAAACATCAACTTCAGAGACATGTTCACTTGCTGCCCAATAAATCCCACCCACTTCCAGGTTCCACTGGAATTTAGTAATCAATGCTACGCACTTAACTTGTTAGTGGTCATAATATTATGGCTGGTCGGTGTATAGTAACAGGATGTCAGTTATCCTTTTATGGAGTAATGTAAGGGAAAACTGCCTTAACCACTTGAGCTTGGGAACGTTTTACCCCCTTCAGGACCAGGCCATTTTTTGCCATTTAACACTGTGCCATTTTAACTGGCAATTGCACAGTCATGCAACATTGTTGCCAAATTAAATTTAGACTTTTTTTTTTTTTTTACACACAAATGGAGCTTTCTTTTGGTGGTATTTGATCACCACTGTTTTTTATTATATAAAAATGGAAAAAGACTGAAAATTAAAAAAACCCACACACATTACATTTTCTACTTTGACTTTTTGTTATAAAACATATCCAATTTAAAAAAAAAATAATAATATAATTGGGCCAAAGTGTAATCTGCTACATGTCTTTCGTTAAACAAAAGCAATTTTTTATTTTTTTTTCTTTGCCAAAGTTATAGCAGCTAGTCTGGTAATGGCAGTCAGCAGCAACTTAGTCCTCATGCACACTGGACGTTTTTACAGCTTCTGTTTTTGGCTTTTGAAATTTTTTTTTCTACAGCCAGTAAACTCCCCAGCATGTTATCCTATGTGTCCATGCACACAGACTGTAATCAATGTTTTTTTTGGCAGGGGCATTTTTTGGCTGGAAATAGACCCAGAACTAGTGGGTTTCCAGGGGAGTTTTTTTAGCTGTAAAAATGCTCTAATGCTGAAAAATTAGTAAATGGCAGCAAACCAGCGTTCTTGGACTTTTTTTGCACAAAAAAAAAAAAAAAAAAACGCTGCTAAGCGCTAATGCATAAATGCTAAAAACCTCACGTTTTTAAACATTACTATACACAGCTAACATTAACAGCGTTTTTTAAATGCCCAGTGTGCATGGAGCCTTATAGTGGAACTGTGATAGCGTGGCGATCAATTGGGCACTAGCTGACACTGACTGGGAGGGACTCTCACCGACATAGTGACACTAATACAGTGATCAGTGCTAATACTGTACTAATGATAGCTGGGAAGGGGCAATCAAAGGGTGTCCCTAACATTGTGAAATATGTGCTGTTTTTACTAATCCAGATGAATGTTTTTTCTCCCTGCTTTACAGGGAGATAACAGCCACATCTCTGCTCTGTACAGAGCCCTGTGTTGCTAGTAAACACAGAGCTGTGTTCTGTGATTTGCAAAGCTGATCAGCAGGTCCTAGCAATAAATAATTGGTCGGGACCTGCTGACCGACTTGTGTTGTACAGAATGACAGCACGGATCAGACGCGGGGGGGGGGTAGCATGCATATGTGCTGTCTACCCAGAAATGCTGAATCATATATGCGATCCAGCACATGTACTGTGGGTGGTCTTGAGAGTGGTTAAAGAAAAAAAAAAAAAAAAAAAAAAAACGTACAATTTAGAAAAGATACAGTGTGCAGAACAATCATGAGACAAACTAGATTTTCTTTCTATTGCAAACATGTCTTTAATATTATGACTCAAATAGTATAATGCAATTGGGAATACGTTGCAATGTCCAATGTCACATGTTAAAAATGTACCACAAGTTCAGGCACAGTTTGTTTTGCAGGGTCGTGCAGTCACACGGGAGTGCATTTGTCCATAGGTTTTGTTACTTACAAAACTGTATTCCAGTGATATTAGAAGCCAGCAGAGCAAGGTTTCTGTTGTCCTAAGAGGAAGAGTAGAGGGCACTCTTGTAGTCTGCCTTGCAGAAATACTTGGTAAACATTACCTCGGAACTTGAAAACCGCTACCCCACAATAATACTACTTCAATATGAAGCAGGTAGTCACCACCATGATTGTGGCTGTATAGCTAACGGGCAGTTTTGAGACAGCGCTCGCTTTCATGAATTAGGTCTTGCGCTACTTGTCTATTTCATGACGGCGCAATCGTTCACAGCTTTGGAAAGACCCACATGACATCACTGGCCTGGCAACACAAAAGAAAATGCAGGATGTTTGGTGTAACTGCAGATCAATGTAGCTGTGATAAGTAGCCATCCAAGTCCTGAAAAAAAAAATAATACACCTGTAACTGACACAGTATAAGATCTTTGTTGACAATGCTTCCTATGCAAATTTAATCTTTCCCAGGTAGCCAAAGAACATTCTAAGCAGGGGTGGACTGACCATTTGGAAACTTGGGCACTGCCCGAGGGCCCGAGGTCAGTAGGGGGCCCCATGAGATGCCCCTGGTACCTTTTTCATAGGCTTTTTTGAGTTTGGGCAAGGACACAGGGGCCCCACGATTGCCCAAGGGCCCCATGAGTTGTCAGTCCGCCTCTGATTCTAAGTCAGTGAGCACACCGTTCCTCCCAGCCGAGCCATCTTTTACCACTGTCAGTCTGGTTTTTGCTATAACTGTCACCTATGCTTGAAAAGGGGCCAATCTCAGCGTAGAATGCAGGAGGCTGTTCTTCCTCTAATGCAAACTCTGGTATTCATTTCAGACTGCGCTTCATGTTTTTCCTTCTTTATTGGACCAGTATTTCCAGATTCTCCTTAACCCTTTTGTTGCCAGAGTAGCAATGTTTTTGCAATTCTGATGGCCAAACTAAAATTCTCCATTTTGTTTTTTTTATGTACATTCAATAAAAGCGCACAAGTTGAATTCCAGGTATGCACATACCATCTGTAAGCTGGAAATCGCTGTAGTAGGCACCAATACTACAGCCATCCCCACTAGCTTGCTTACTAAACACAGGAGGTTGCGAGCTTTCATCTTTCACAGAACACTTTTGCAATAAATTCAAATGATTCTGATTGGATGAGGCAGGTTGGATTGTCACAAGCTCCACCTCCTTCAATCAGAAAATATTTTGCATTCATTGAGAAAAGTCAAAGCAATTTCTGAATGGTTAAAAAAGTGCAGCGCTATAAAGTATATACTCCAGTCCAATAATGGTAGATCAATAGGAAGATAGAATCACATTATAAATAAATACTAATTATGCTCCAGTCCGGTAAAAGTAAATATAATAAAATGATAGTAAAATTAATATAAGTAAATTGGTGACAGTTCGTGATGAGTGATTAATACAGGAGTTGCTAGTGACTTCACAATCCAGTGGTTTGGTGATAAACAGTAAAAATACGCACTCACCAGATGCGTATCTTTTAATATGCATATAATAAATAAACCAGAGGTCCCCCTCAAAGGATGGGATGGATGAGCTGGGCCATCTTAACGGACTCTCTTTCCTATGGATATTGGGCAGCCAAACAGCTGTCTCCATCTTGGTAATGGACAGGGTACTGGGCAGCTTACAGCGGAACGTGCGTTATCCTCTGGGTTGGTGTCACGTTACAACTGGTGTCTTGAGACTTGGGCTTTAGAACAGATGTTAGCTCACCAGGGATGGCCATTCCTTTCTGATGAAGTGCTATCGCACAAAACGTGTTAAAGGGGCCCTCACGCCGTGATGTCTTGCTGCTGGTAACTGGTATCGGTCCGGTGGGCATCCATTCATTGTACATTGGTTAGTACATTTACATATGCTGAACAACATTTATGGTTTTTCTTGCCACGTGGATTAATACATTCCAATTTTAAACTACTACACTATGAACAATTGTTTGTTAGCTCCCTGGTGAGCTAACATCCGTTCTAGAGCCCAAGTCTCAAGACGCAAGAGCTGTAGCATGTGACACCAACCCAGAGGATGACGCACGTTCCGCTGTAAGCTGCCCAGCACCCTGTCCATTACCAAGAGGGAGACAACGGTTTGGCTGCCCAATATCCAGAGGAAGGAGAGTCCGCTAAGACGGTCCAGCTCATCCATCCCATCCTATGAGGGGGACCTCTGGTTTATTTTATGCGTATCAAAAGATACGCATCTGGTGAATGCGTATTTTTACTATTTATCACCAAACCACTGGATCGTGACGTCACTAGCAACTCCTGCATTAATCACTCATCACGAACTGTTACCAATTTAGTTAAATTAATTTTATTATATTTATATTATTTACTTTTTACCAGACTGGAGTATAATTAGTATGTATTTATAATATGATTCTATCTTCCTATTGATATACCATTATTGGACTGGAGTATATACTTTTAGAGCTGCACTTTTTTATACATAGGTTTATGAGGTTTGTGTTTTGGTTGCCTTTTATGTGCTATAGCTGCTACAATTTGAAGCGCTCACTGATTTTACTTAAATTTCTGAATGGTACCCCTTTTGACAATGCAGCAGGGAAGTTGCGTGTCACAGGACCCAGAAGCTAGTAGCTTTAATAAATAAATCAGAAAGCATGAACTTTGAAATTGGGAAAACTCATCAAAATGTGTTCCTGCCTGCTGTGATTTGGAAAACATCCTGTACTCCAGAGTGCAGTACTTCCTCAAATGCAAGTCTAGAAAGAGGTCTCCCCAGGGACAGGGGGTGCCAGATTTATTTTTCATCAGGAGCTACACTGAGCACAATCTGCAATCTACCATTACCTCTCTCCCCCCCCCCCCATTTTGGTCTCAAGATAGATTTGTCCCCATTTATTATTAGAAAAGTAAACCAACAACTTGAAGACTGACATGCTGGGGTCTGCTGTCCTGCTCTGGCATGGCAAAGAAAAAACAGAAACAGTGCTTAGTAGTAACTATGCTCACCAATTTTATATGCGGATATTATTGCTTTACAGCACTTTATAAACAGTACGCAGACATCCAGTTTACCTTTGCTATGTTGCCGGTATAACCTGGAACTGATGCAAGATAACCTTCCTGAAGCCAAATTCCACTTAGCTGGTGTTTTAGTATTAAAACATTTCTAGAATAAATAAAAGTAATAATAAATTATAAACTATTCAAGCATAAAAAAGGTAAATAAAAGTAGAGCCTTCATCTCTGCAAACAAGGCATCTCCACTATTCTAAAAAGGACAATAAAAAGTGCAGACCACCAGATCCTTGAGAACAAAAGTAACAAGCAAATGACTAAAGAAACTATGAATGAGAGGGCAGGGAGTGGGGCTACATGACAATTCAGTCTCGGAGGAGTTACAGCGGAAAGTGAAACTGTGGTTCACTTTGCAAAACCTATTCATATCCAATATATGAAAGGTTGATATAAGCTTTACCTTATTTACTAATTTCAGCGTACATTCACTTTGCTAAGTAAACAGTCTATTATTTTAGTAAATAAAACCCAGTTCCTGAGACCTTACTCAGTATAGGTCTTGAACTCTTTTTGGGCTTTTAATGGTGGCAAAAAAAAAAAAAAATAATCTTAAAATGGAATGGACACAGAGAATATATCTATTTTATAATACAGTTATATATAAACTTTGTTCTTTTAAAAAAATAAATACATTTTCCAAAAAAAAAAAACCAAAAAAAAAAAAACACAACTATTTTTTTGAAAATGTATTTATCTTTTTAAAAGAACAAAGTTTATATATTACTCTATCATAAATGCTTCTACCTTTTGTAATTTTTTTCCCTTAGGTGCACACTGAGCATCGTTACATCACCCAGTCAGGCACATAGGATGGACATGGACTTTGAACCCGAAAGACCAGGTAAGGTGTGCCATACAGCTCCTTGGATGTCCAACTGGGTGACCCCGCCCTTTGTTTACTATAGCAGCAGGGTGTATGACAGCTCCTTCACAGAGCTAGAAAGTGAAGAAATAAAAAAAAAAAAAAAAGGACAGCAATTGCATTTAAAAACCGGCAATGACACCTAGCGGCAGTAAGTGAATGAGCTTATCTGTATACACTGCTCCCTCCTTACACAGACTGCCCCCCCTCCCTCCCCCTAACAAAGAGGACCTATCACTTATATGCTATCACATAGGGGACTGTTGGTCCCCTATGTGATAGCAATAAAATCATATATTAAAAAAACAAAACAAAATGGGAAAAAAAAACAAACCAAAAAACTGACTCTCACCACCCCAACATTCGCAGACACTTCGGTTTTCGGCCAAGTGCATCCTGAATTTTCAGTTTTGGCACCAGAATTTTTATTTTGGTGCACTACTATATTTTAGTCATCGGAATTGTTTTAGTTGTACTGGAGATTTTAGCCGACTAAGATACATTTTAGTTGACTAAAATCTAATGGGTTTGTAATGCATTATTTAAGCATTTCTCTAGAATTTCCAAACTCATTCTATACTCCAGGAGTACAAATCTAATAACATTTTATATATATGGTATTAAGGTTTGAACATGTACTACAGGCATTACCAGAATATATTACCAACATTAAATATGAATTTCAACAGCTTAGTAGATGCCCCCTACTTATTCTTATGCGTTACTGTTAATTTTGAAGTCAAATTTCGGTTTAGTTTTAGTGATGGTCTTGACCAAAATGCCATTTTAGTTTTAGTCGTATTGTAGCCATCTGAATTGTTTAATTCAGTGTAAACCTACACTTGAACTATGTTTGAAATTGTGAGACTTCACTTGAAATCACACAATTTCAAAGCCTGTCTGTGCAACTTGGCTGACATCTGTGCAGCTTCATGCAGATGTCTATGCAAGTTGCATCCGAAGTTGCAGAAACGTATTCTCTCTCCCCCCCCAAAATTGGTGGGGCACCGCAAGGTCGGAGTTGCACCGCTTTGAATGGTTCCATTGACACGAGGGTGCGACTTATTACATGAATGCAACTGTCAAATTGCATGAAAAGTCGCACCAGTATGAACCAGGGATTAGCCGTATTTAATTTAAAATGGTTTTAATTTAGTTGATAAAAATGCTGGTAATGGTATCTGCCTGTTTTGAATGAAATCATACAAGCTGCCCAGTTCAAAGTGGCTACACTTGTCATGGATTTATAACCCCCACCCAAAAAAAAAAAAAAAAAAAAAAAAAAAAAAAAAAAAAAGAAGGGGTACACAAATACTGCCATAAAAAGATGAAGGTATGAAGGAAAACACTTTCATGTGGAAATATAGTGTCATTTCCATTTGCTGTAAAATTTCCTGTGAAAATTTCCTTCACTTTTCTTTGTGGATAAAACGAAGATTTAGATGTTAGCATTCATACACTTACTCATCTAATGAATTTTCGGAACTTGTAGATAATTGTGTCCACCACTTCTTTACAATTGCTTGAAGCCAGTTAAGACCAACTATTACATATCTGAAAAAGACAAAACCGTGTTATCAACCTGCACAATTCGGTTTTGACAATCACTATATTTACATGAGTTAAATTCATTATAGAATAAATATAGTGGTAAAGCATTGGATCGTTGATTTGAACGTGCCTATAACTGGAGGGAATGATCCTGGTGAATAACTTGCACATGTCTGTAAACTACATCATGGTAGCAGAGAACACTACTGACTAGATATATGGATTCTTGGTCAATTACAAAACAAATCCCATTCAATTCAAGATTTCCCTTTTGCTTGACTGCGACACAAAACAGACAGAAATTTTCTAGCAGACTTCAGAAGAGGATCCTCAGTTACGGCAGTAGACTGGTAGCCATCCTAAAAAGAATCTTACTGTGTCGGCCACTTCTTCACCTCTTTGGCAACACCAACAGAAAATTCTAGATCTCTGCCAAGACTACCAGTGTATCATAGATCACAAATATCAACTAAAATAGAATTTTTAACTTGCCATAAAATCCTGCTCTTGGAGTACATTAGGGGTTAAGGCATAAAGCATTTAAGTGCTCTGGGTTATGCTGCTGCCTTCAGATTAGACGCTGGCAAACAAAACTAAGGGCAGCCCAGTGCAACTCCTCCCCCTTCCAGCCTGCTTTAGTTCTGTAGCCAGCATTAGTAGGAGTGGATGATGAGAAATGTCGGGGAAGGGGGGAGGAGTGTCTCTTAGGAAGTCAAAAATCCTATTTTCTTAATCATACATCAAAATGATACAGGAAAAAGTATTAAGGTACTTTGGGACATCCAAAAGCAGTTCAGCTGAGAGGTGGGCAACAATGAAAGGCTCACAAGCCAACAAATTTTCAAGAAGAAACTTATGACTGAAGCCAGCATTAGCTGAGGCCTGAACATCTACCTGGTAAAACTCAACAAATGTCTGAATAGACAGCCAGGTGGTGGCTTTGCATACCCGAGAAATAGGTGCACGATGCTGAAAAGCCCAAAAAGCAGCTACTGATCTAGTGGAGTGCATTTTGACAGGGAAAGTTGGAACCTTGCTCCTGAGGTAATAGGCTTAAATCAGAGATCTCCAAACTATGGCCCTCCAGCTGTTGAAGTACTACAAGTCCCATCATGCCTCTGCCTCTGGGAGTCTTGCCTGTGGCTGTCAGAGCCTTGCAAGGCCTCATGGGGGATTTTCTTTTACTTTCACCTGCAATGGGAATGGTAAACAGGACAAATTGAGAGGGTAAATCTCCCTAATGGGGGCACAGAAAAGAACAACAACTGACAGGTGTTCTAATCCCCCTCCACACTATACAACTAAAACAAGGTTTTGCCTTTAGTTATACTTTAAGTCTTCCAAATCAGAGACTTGCCTGATGGAAGTGAGGCAACAAGAAAGGCAACTTGTGAGTAAAGGTAGACCAGTCCCTAAGAGATTCAAATGCTGGTTTCTGAAAACCCAACAAACTAGACTGAGATCCCACTGAGGTACTGGGGAACATACAAGAGAATGTGAACAGCACTCTGTATGAAAGCCTTTGAGGAATGAGAGCAAGGTGGTTTGCGAAAGAGAACTGCTAAGGTTGATATTCGACCCTTGATGGTACTCAAGGCCAAATATGGGACTGGTCCCACAGGGAATTTCCCAAGGATAAAATTTCCTTGCCTCAAAAGAAATAGGTTTTCCAAATGAGATTGTTGACTTTGCAAGAAGTTTATTTCACAGCTTTTAAGAGTGTAGGAATAACTGAATTTGATAAGACTCTTCTCCCCCAGAACTTCGGCTTTAATATCGAGGCAGGTAAAGCCAGAGAAAAAAATAAAGCAGGTTGGTAAAACATACCCTTGAAACAGCAGACCTGGATGATCTGGGAGAGCCCATGAAAAGTCTGACGGAGTCCACATACCATGTGCTCCTAGGCCAGTTCAGTGTGATGTGAAATCACAAAGGCCCTCCATTTCCATCCTAGAGAATAGGCGGGGAAGAGCTTCACAGGAGGAATGGCACATATCATATGGAACGGACACCACAGTCACTGTTGCAGTATAAAAGGCTTACGATCCCTGGATCTGAAGACAAACCACCTCAGTTTGTTGAACCTGGAAGCCAGGAGGTTCACGTCTGTCACACCCCTCCCCCCATCTGTGGCAGTGGGCTTGAAGCACATAGCTGAACTCACAGTTGAGTAAGCTATTGGTGCAAGATCTCTTAGATGGTACATTGCAAGCACCAAAGAACTGTTCGTAGCTCATAAGCTAGCAAGGCCCAGAGCACCACTGCCCTTGCGTTTTTGGAAATCCCTCATTTGCATATTTGGTATATTAGATCACAAGCAGTAATCACAAGAACACTGCAGGAACTGGAGAGGACAATGCTGTCTCTGACCCAGTGACTGTAAGGCAGCAGGAAAAAAACGCCTGAAACTCAGGCAAAGATACAGATGAGGGGCAGCACATGTGAAGGGCGGGGTGTAAGCGTGGCCCTTAGAAGGTACAGCAAATCTGAAACATACTGTAAATTGTGCTGGCAAAACAAGTGTCACAAAACTACACAAGATGCAAGCAACAAACACAAACGTGATAAGACACCAAAATCTTATGTTGCAGCACTGCAGACCTTGCGACAAAATAAAAAAATGCACAACTTATGTTTTGGCACACAGTATAACTCTTGAAGGGAAAGTGAACACACTCAGAAGAGAAGCAAAAGTAAGCAGCAGCTTGCTTCTTTCAGAGAAGGTCTATAGACACATAAAACCGAGCTCAGGAGCGAGCCTGCACACCTGCCCCGATAGGAAACAGCTTGCTATGAGACAAACACAGGGGAGAAGAAACCAAGATCGCTAGCAGGGGACTACAGAAGAGGTTGGGGGCTACATTTTAAAATAACAAATGCCTAAAAGGCAGTAGCATAACAATGTACCTGACTAATCCTGTACATGCAACATGCAAATTTAAAAGGGAACCCCACACACACACACAGCGTTTTTAGCTACCTTTCTTTCCCTTTTTCTATCTCCTTGCCTTTGGGTGGTAATACCTTACATCGAAGATCATCAGAGATATGTTATAGTATGACAGCCTCTGTGTTACATCTGGTATTTGGTTCAATCAAATTATTTCAGCTGCTCTTACTGCATTAGCAGTTAAATCTGTTGGTGCTTGTAAAGACAAAAAGGGAGGGTGTATGAAGGGGTTGTCAAAATCATGTCCACCGATTTAATTTCATGTTATAGTTTTTTAGTGTTTTAATTTATTAAAACAGTCATTTAAAATGATTTATAAAATTATTAACACCAAATGTATTACAGATTAATTCCTGCTATCAATTAACCCCTTCACACCTAAGGGTAAAAAAATCTTAATGCCCAAAGCACAATTTTGCAACTTTGACACGTGTTAGTAAACCGTACATATAATCACTGTGTATCCAGGTGAATTATACCTTGTTTTTTTCCAGGACAAATTGGGCTTTCATTTGATAAAAGGATTATGAATATCTCCTGATTTTTTTTTTCATTATTAAAAAGGGAAAAAAAACAAACCGTCCCAAAACAGAATTTTTTTTTTTTAAATGTAGCTGTACATTTGTGGTTACTACCCTAACCTACCAACAAAGAACGCAAAATAAAGTCTCCTGCTTCTGATGATCGCAGTGATGTCACATGTGTATTTTATTTGTTGTTTGTACCCATAGTACAGCCCAGAAACAATAGTGCGCATTTAGCTGCTTTTTTTGTCCTACCTAAAACACTGCATGAATACCAATTTAAAACTAAAAAAAAAAAAAAAACCTCGCCAAAATATTCTGACCCTTACCCCTTACTTGACCCAAACACTAACCCTGGCACTGACCTAGATCAAACCTTAATCTAGGCATTTTCTTTTTATATTTTAATATTTAATTTTACACACTTTGTCTCCTTTCAGAGAGAAAAAAAGATACAATGCATCTCTCTTCTCCATTCAGAGAGAAAACACAGGGGAGGGCTTCACAGTGACTGATCCCTGATGGCCAAGCAGAGGCTATCACAGCGATCAGGTGACCCGGAATCAGGAGTTTTGGGTCCTGATCGTTAATACAGGACCTGGGGCTCACGGCGAGACCTCAGTCTCTGTGCTGAGAGCGCACCGTGCGGTGCACTCCTAGAACATAGGGTGATGATCAAATATGCAGCCCCATGGCAAAGAGCCCAGTGCATTGGGGCCGCATATTTTTGTGAGGTCGGCATTAAAAGAGTTTAACAGAATAGGCATATCTTTGGGAAAAGCCAAAATTAGCACCAGTAAGTCCTCAAAACAATTTTTAAGAAAAGCCGAAAACATAGGCAACAGTAGAATCCAACCGAAAAAGCTGATAAAGAACTCAACTGTCTACAGCCTGAAGGGCATATATCGCTGCAAAGAGAAAGAGGAAAAAAAAAAAAAAAAAAAAAAACACTTTAAAAAAAAACTTGAAAGATTTTTGTCCATGGTGAACAAATTTTCAAGGATGGGGCTGAGAAGGAGCATTTTATTACTGTTTGTTAACTAACTGTAATCGAAGTATCTAGTGTACATGTTCATATCCTATGTAGGCTACACTATACAACCACTTAGAAGTAATGTAAGTGACCATCAAAAGGGAAAAATCGAAAAAAAAAAAGGCTCAGTGTGCTAAAACAATTTGCCGTTAGGCTCCATTCACATCTCAGAGTTTTGTTTTGCAGGGAGAATCGCCATGCTTCTGTTCATGATCTCAAATGCTCTACAAAACTGACAAGTGGCACAATTGTTCAGTTGTCATTTTCAATGGCATCTAAAAACGCAGTGCAATTCTCCAGCAATTATTAAACCACATACCTCAAAGCTTGTCGCCTCAAAAGAAGCTCCTGCTCCTTTTTCAGCGACAAGCTTAGGGAGATGTGGTTTGTCACAATTAAATGCACAACAATCACAGCAGAACCAAACTTGCATTTAGGTGCCACTGAAAATGAATGGCACCTGAAAAATAGTGGTGTGAATTGTCAGTTTTGCAGAGTGTTTTGGGATCACAGACAGAAGCGTGGAGACTGACGCTATAAGCAAGGGTGTGCCAGAAAAGGCTCACAAGTAACTTTTCTAGAAGTTTATCTACATGGCCATAAACAGATATGTTTCACCAGCTGTGTTACTAAAAACCATTCTGGATATTCACACTAAACACCATGTCCCATTTTGGGCTAAATGATGAACAAAGGAATTTTTTTTTTTTTTATTAGGAAACTTTTTTTTTTTTTTACACTAATGCATATATACAGTTGTGTTCAAAATAATAGCAGTGTGTTGAAAAAAAGTGAATAAAGCTCAAAATCCTTCTAATAGCTTTTATTTCCATACACACAAATGCATTGGGAACACTACACATTCTATTCCAAATCAAAACATGAAGAAAAAGATTTCAAATGTGTGTTGTTCCTCCAAAAAAATTTAAGAAAAGTGAATATTAGACTGTTCAAAAAAAATAGCAGTTTGTATTCTTCTTTACAAACTCAAACATTCACTATATAAAACTGAAAAATGTTTGAAGATTTTGCTTTCCTTTGAATCACTTAATATTTAGTTGTAGTCGCACTGTTTCTGAGAACTGCTGTACGTCTGTGTTGCATGGAGTCACCCAACTTCTGGCACCTGTGAACAGGTATTCCAGCCCAGGATGATTGGACTACATTCCACAGTTCTTCTCTATTTCTTGGTTTTGCCTCAGAAACTGCATTTTTGATGTCACCCCACAAGTTTTCTATTGGATTAAGATCCGGGGATTGGGCTGGCCCCTCCATAACGTCAATCTTGTTGGTCTGGAACCAAGATGTTGCACGTTTACTGTGTGTTTGGGGTCGTTGTCTTGTTGGAACACCCATTTCAAGGGCATTTCCTCTTCAGCATAAGGCAGCATGACCTCTTCAAGTATTCTGATGTATTCAAACTGATCCATGATCCCTGGTATGCGATAAATAGGCCCAACACCATAGTATGAGAAACATCCCCATATCATGATGTTTGCACCACCATGCTTCACTGTCTTCACAGTGTACTGTGGCTGGAATTCAGTGTTTGGTGGTCGTCTGACAAACTGTCTCCGACCACTAGACCCAAAAAGAACAATCTTACTTTCATCAGTCTACAAAATGTTGCGCCATTTCTATTTAGGCCAGTCAATGTGCTCTTTGGCAAATTGTAACCTCTTCAGCACATGTCTTTTTTTTCCAACAATGGGACTTTGCGGGGGCTTCTTGCAGATAGCTTGGCTTCACATAGGCGTCTTCTAATTGTAACAGTACTCACAGGTAACCTTAGACCTTCTTTGATCTTCCTGGAGCTGATTGTTGGCTGAGTCCTTGCCATTTTGGCTATAATATCCATTTGAATGGTAGTTTTTCACTTTCTTCCACGTCTTTCAGGTTTTGGTTGCCATTTTAAAGCATTTGCGATCATTTTAGCTGAGCAGCCTTTCATTTTCTGCACTTCTTTATAGGTTTTCCCCTCTCCAATCAAGTTTTTAATCAAGGTACGCTGTTCTTCTAAACAATGTCTGGAACGACCCATTTTCCTCAGAATTTCAGAGAGAAATGCACTGTAACCAGCATGTACAACATTTGCTGCCTTCCTTCCTTAAATAAGGGCAATAATTGCCACCTGTTTTTCAAAGAATGAATGACCTCACTAATAGAACTCCACACTGCTATTATTTTGAACATGCCCCTTTCAATTAGTGATTCAGTTACACAGAATCAGCAGCATGCATGTCATGACTGTTGGGTCTGTTGGATTTCTATTACTCTACTACACCTGCTAGTAAATTATTTGCCATGTAGAAATATCATTTCTACCAAAAACAGTGATTGATCAGGTTAGTGATGTCTGACTGTTATTATTTTGAACACAACTGTACATTGTATTTAATACTGTCAAAGTGTCATCTATGGATGTTTTTGTTCACAATATTGATTGTATGAGTACATGCGGAAATGTGTAAGATGATCAAATGTTTAATATTAAAGTTAGAGTATATTGAGCTCTGAGCTTAGATAATTTAGGTCTTGGCACTTTGTGCTATTGAGAATATAATACAGTGGACGAAAGCCCTTCTGAAAGTCTGCCTATCGCTAGGTTTAATACCTCAAGCATACAATAAGTGAAGTCAGAATTCAATCAACTCAGAATTTTAGAAAGAAATATTGGAAATGACAGTCAATGGATTACTTTTTAATACATTACGTTTTAGATGTCAGATAACTTCAGTAATGTGCATTTTTTTCCCCCAAATCAAACATACAGCTATCAGATCAGTACAAACTAAAGTGGTATGAGACCCAACAACAGTTTGTATACTGCAGCTTACCAATTCTTAACTAGGGTGGCTGTGTTAGGTTTCTTTCCTTAATTTTCATCTGGCTACCTAGCCATTAACTCTTGCTTTTCAACAGAACAAGCTGTCCAGCAGATGTAGATGTTAGGGGATTAGTAAGGCATTTACTAGTGACAGGGGTGCGAATGATCAGCTTTAATTTTTTATGTTTTCCAAGATTTAAAAAAAAAAAAAAAAACACTTGTTGTAACTGCTGGAGTTTGGCATCAATTTGTTAGTGCATCTAACGCTCCCCTCCCCTAAGACTGACAATAATGTTGTCCAAAAAGGTATCTCTGTTGCTCCTCCATCCAGAGTGGAGGCACTCTAACAGTGGAGGTGTGTTACTGGCCGATCACCAGGGGAAAAGCCTAAAAAAAAAGAAAGCCAATGCAGCCACCCCAATTAAGGATTAGAAAGCCGAGATATATACAAATGTTATAGTTCTGGGTTCAATGTCGCTTTAAATATTTTGAGATAACTTTATGGAGCCACTTACTCTTCAAATTTGCTCTTCAGTAGAGACTTAACCAGCGGTAACAGGTCAACACAACAACCAATTGAAACTGAAGCCTTGTCTTCCTGTAAGCTGCAAAAATATTTAGGAAAGTTAGGAAAATAGTGATAAAAAGATTTTTCGTTATACGTTATATAACACCACCAACAAATTTATGTTATTTGCTATGTAAAAATAAAAAAAACACACAATGATGGGTGTCTCATGTTAGGATATTCTTACATCAGTTTGAACTCCAAGATTTAGTCTGTACACTACTGCAAGCACTTTAGCCCTGAAACACAGTTCAGGCTCTAGTACAGTAATGACAGTGGGTTGCTCACTCTCCTCCTTGTCCATGAAAGAAAAAAAAATAAAAAAAAAATTGCTTTATAGTAACATGTTACACCCTAGAGGTGTAACATTACAAAAAGGTGAACTTCTACTTTATTACAATTTAATTAATAAAATAATGTTAAGATTAGCACCTCCATTCATCATGATCTGTCCCCAACCATGCAGGTACCGAAACAATACAGGTGCATACAGTGCTGTGTTCCGGCAGCAGGATGTGGAATTCCCTCCCCACTCCTTGGAACAAAATTGAGTTGGGCTGAGCTCTGCTCAGCCATTCACAGGGAGAGTTGTGTTTTCTGAATAAAGTTAAAGCACAACTAACCCCTCCTATCTTTTACAGCCAAAGAAGCAGTCATCATGGCCTTTATTTGATCTGCAGCTGTCAAGGTGCTGGTCATGTGATCAACTATGACAACAACCATTTGATGGCTTATTGTGAGTTAAAGCGATACTAAGGCATCATTTTTTTTTTCAAAGAAAATAAACGTTCTACTTACCTGCTGTGTGCAGTGGTTGTGCACAGAGAAGCCTGGATCCTCCTCTTCTCGTGTCCCCCGCAGGCTCTCCTGGACCCCCCTCCTGTTGGGTGCCACCACAGCAAGTAGCTTGCTATGGGGGCACCCACTGCTGCGTGTGTCCCCACAGCAAGCAGCCTGCTATGGGGGCACCCACTGCTGCGTGTGTCCCCACAGCAAGCAGCTTGCTATGGGGGCACCCACTGCTGCGTGTGTCCCCACAGCAAGCAGCTTGCTATGGGGGCACCCACTGCTGCGTGTGTCCCCACAGCAAGCAGCTTGCTATGGGGGCACCCACTGCTGCGTGTGTCCCCACAGCAAGCAGCTTGCTATGGGGGCACCCACTGCTGCGTGTGTCCCCACAGCAAGCAGCTTGCTATGGGGGCACCCACTGCTGCGTGTGTCCATTCACCCTTCCTCTCTCTTCTCATTGGCTGTGATTGACAGCAGCGTGAGCCAATGGCTCCTAATACTGTCTCAGCCAAAGTCTTGGGATAGCCAAGACTCCAGTGCACATCGCTGGATCAAGACAGGGCTTAGGATAGTAATTGAGGGGGCTGTGGAGGCTGCCACACAGAGGTTTTTTTTTTTACCTTTATGCATAAAATGCCTGAAGGTTAAAAACCTTGAGCCTATAGAAGCACTTTAACATAAGCACACAAGTAACTGTTATTCAAGGCATTCTTTGAATTTATATTTCAAATCTGTTTATTACATTTTAGGAGTGGAATTTATACAGTTTGAGCCAGAAAACACAATCATCATAACATTCGTAGGGTTTACAGATAGAAGTAGTGAAGGAAAAAAAAAACAAAGTAATGCACAGTGGCCAAATAAACATTGACAGACGTTGTCATGATTTGACCCAGAGCAAAAGTAACAAATATAACCGCACAAAAACCAATGTCATAAACTTAGCAATCTTAGTAATGGAAGGTCATTAACTATTTTTAGAAAGATGGCAATCTATCTTTCTGGTGATGTGTTTCCCTGCTAGGCTCCATGTACACTGCAGCTGATAAACTCACTTTCAGGAGCTTTTCTGTTTTTTTCAGCAGCCCCTGAACTCTCCCTAATGTTCTCCTATGTGTCCATGTACACTATGTCGTTTACAAGCAGTTGAGTTTACAGTCGTTTCAGGAGTAGATTTTATCAGCGTTTCAAATGCCAAACGCTTGTAAATGCGTGTAAACGCGGCTAAGTGCTTTTGGAAAATTTGTTTAACTCTTCCATTTCCAGATGCTGTTCAGAGCCTTTTTTCATCATGAAAAATGCATGCAAAGCATTTTCCCCGATACTCAAACGGACCTGGTACACCATACTTTGAGGTTTCACATGAAAGAAAATATGTTAGACACTGCTCCAATAATATCTGCACAGAAATGAGCTGGAACACATCCAAACACCACAAAAAAAAAAAAAAAAAAAAAAGGAAGGACAGGTAATCTCAACAAATGCTGCTCCTTCTGCACTCTCCATTTCTCTCAAAATGTCTGAAATAGTTAATTTTTTTTACTGTTTTTCAGTGCATTCTGGAAGGTCTCCTGAGATTATCTTTAAAAAACACTTCTAAAAACAGAAACGCTCATAAACATGGCTAAACAGACATTTTTTTAACCTACGTTTACCAGCAGTCAGTTTCCATCGTTCAGAAGTGTCCTGTGTACATGGAGCCTTACTGAACAGAGTAGATTGAATGTCCTAATCCAAAATCTAGTCACTTTGTTGCACTGCCACCAAATGTGGACCATGGTGGCTAGCTGGCCAGAGTTTCTGAAACACTGGGGAAAAGCCTGCATATTCAACTTAGCTATGCTAGTCAGGACCATATACCATCGTAGCAACTTTCTGTAATTAGACCCTATCAAAGCTGTATTGATAGAAATCAGAGAGGTTGTTTAAAATGTCTTCTATGGTCCCATCAGACATTAAAATCTCTCTCCCAAAGCTCCATGTAAGAAAGCTTATGGTCCAAGCCTTATTAGAATTAGTATTGTAATATGACCCTTCAACTAATCCCTGTCTGTGAATTGTGGCAGTGCTGAAGGACTGACCCCTGTGGCTACTGTATGATATTCGCATTCTCAATTTGGTCCAACTTGCACAATGTAATTATGCAATAAAGATCATACTTGGAGTTCAGCTTATTCCAAGAAAGTACCTAAATGATCAGGCTCCCTTAAAGAGACAATACCATGTATGTTCTCATGTAAACTAAATAACTTTATTTTTCAATTACACTTTACTATGAAAGCCAATACAATCATACAGTATTTTTTTTACATACCTTTAACCACTTGCCTACTGGGCACTTTTACTCCCTTCCTGCCCAGGCCAATTTTCAGCTTTCAGCACTGTCACACTTTGAATGACAATTGTGTGGTCATGCAACACTGTACCCATATTATATTTATAATTTTTTTTTTTAGATAGACAGCTTTCTTTTGATGTTATTTAATCACCACTGGGTTTTTTTTATTTTTTGTTTAACTAAAACAAAAAGACTGAAAATTAAAAAAAAAAAAAAAGTTTTAGTTTGTTATAAAATTTTGTAAAAAAAGTAATTTTTCTCCTTCACTGATGTGAGCTAATGAGGCTGCAGTGACTGATGAGGAGGCACTGGTTGGTGGCATTGACAGGCATCACTAATGGGCACTGACAGGCGGCACTGATTTGCATTGCTGTGCACTGTTAGGCACTGGTATGTGGCATTGATGGGCACTGACAAGTGGCACTGAAGGGGCTACTCTGATTATCAGGGCACGGATCATCAGTGTAGATGTCCCCTCTGAGGAATGCCGATTACCGGCTCTCCTCTCCTCAAGCACTGTCAGCGTGAGGAGAGGACTGACGATTACTGGCATTTCCTTGTTTACATGCGATCAGCTGTGATTAGACACAGCTGATCACATGCCAACGCTGACGTCACGGCTCTTTACTCTGATCGGTGATCCACTGTGTCCCAGGGACAGCGCACCACCAATTGCCGCCCCCCCCCCCCCCCCCCCCCCCCCAGGGGTAGCTAGAGTGCATGCACAGCTAGAGTGGGAAGACGTCATATGATGTCCTCCCAGAATGACAGAACTGCATCCGGTCCGTCATTCCCTTATATGGCGGCGGGAGGTGGTTAAAGTGATTCTAAGCCAAGAGGTTTTTCTTTACCATAGTACATTCTTTGAGGGGTGGAGCCAGGAGAGCTGGTGGGTGACCCCAGAAGAGCCATTGCACAGCGCAGGCAAGTATAACATGTCTATTAATATTCAAAGCTTTACAATCATTTTAATCCTTCAAACATTCACAATCTCCAATATCTAAAGTAACTACATGCAAACATTTTTTTTTTGGATTGAGTAAGGGAGAATATTTTTTTGCCATCTGTGTCTCATTGGGGAGATTTCCCTTCACTTCCTGTCCCATAGCCAAAACAGGAAATCCCTCCAAAGTAAGGAAATCCTGTTGTGTCACTCCATTGGAAGATTCTCCCTCTATTAGTGTATTGATGTCAACCCAATCCTTGGGACACTCTTACTTACGATAAGAGTATAAAGGACGAACAGAGTAAATCGTCCTGATGAGGGCACAGACCGCAATAAAACCTGAAAGGGTTTTTAATCCCTCTCCACTCTACCCAAAACAAAAAACAAAAAAAATGTGCATTTAGTTACAAGTTAGAAGAGAAGAAGCCAGTACAGTAATTCAGCATTTAACTGAAAGTTACCTGTTTGTAAGAACTGGAAGACAATCTGCTATCACTCCTAAATCCTGCATCCTGCAGAAATGGAGGGAAAAAACATTTTTTATTTGCATGACTGTCTAAATTCTAAGTTACAATAGAGAAACAGCTAAAAAAAATGTAAACCACAATAATGAACTTCTCTTATTTGCCTCCCTTTGATTTGATAAATATATCACGGAAAATGTTTTGTTCTGTTCGTTAAGTGTATCGATTGTCCTAGAAATTCAGAGCTGTACTGAGTTCTCTAGAAGTCCTCCTAATCTACAAAATTATTACTTCCTACACTGTGGAGAGTAAGGAGAATGAAAGATGACTCAGTAGCTTAAAGGGTAACTAAACTTTTGTGAGGAAAAAAAAAAAATAATATATAGACACAAGCAATATTTTAACTTGGATTAAAAGGGAAACAACATTTTTAGCAATAACTTTCTGTAAACGTTCTTGCAATATGGCAACCTGGAGGTGTCCTGTACACAGCTGGTGTACGAAACGTCCCCGAGATGTAGTTTTCTGCGTGTGTGATTGGCTCATGGATTTCCCAGAAGTCTGCACTAAGATACAAGTCAGATTTTTAGGCATCCTCTACAACAAATATCTGTTTTGGTGAGATGCTCAAAAAGGGTTAAATCACTTCAAAAAGGAAGTCAGATCCTTATGCTGTCCTCATAACAGCCCTGTAAGTGCATCAGCTGATCAAAAAAAGCCACTCCCATTCAGAATTTGTCCTGCACAATTCAGCAACAAAGTGCTATTCCTTCGAAGCATAAACAGGCTCTGTAACAAAGTTTTAAAATCTATGCGATGTACAATAATCACTTAGCAGGAATTGCCTTTTTTTTCTAAACAAAAGCGGAGCCACTATAAGGGCTCATTTAGACGTGTCAAGTAATTTGAGTGCCCATTAATGCACCTAATGCGTTATGCTGTATCTAACAGCGCATCTTTGACATGTTTGCACTGTGTTAACGCTTGCCAGGCGCACTCTGCCTTAGTACAAGAATCAGTAACAAAGAAATCTCGCCTAGTAACACTTTAACGCATCTCAAACATGCTGTAAAGGGGCGTTTGTGGCATATGTAAGTTTACATGGACATCAATGACACGTGGAGTCAATTTTGATGAAACACCAACGAGACAATGTGAACATTGGGCATTGCAATGCATACAATTTTGACAAGCATTTGTGGATCTTCAAAAAGTCTTGAGAACGCCCGATGGGAGGGGCGAAACGCGTTGACGCATTTCCGGTTACTACCCCGTACGTCTGACGTCACTTCTGGTGAGTGGAGCGCACGTTGAGCGGTGCGTTCCAGCGGCCATCTTTTGGGATCTGTATATGTGTGGTCTCTGTGGAGCTTCTGCTGTAACCTGGAGCTGTGATGTGAGATTCTGTGAGAGGTTGCCTTACATCTACTGTTCATCTGGAAAGAAGCTGGTCTTAATAAAATATGCCTTTTTAAAGCGATTATAATGTGAGTGGCCTTAATCCTTGATTTCACTTATGAATGGTGTTTTGCAATATTACACTATCTGAGTTTTTTTTCTCCCTGGTTGGATGGTGGAGTCTATGCTGGAGGTGAGGATTCCTATAGAGTGGATACCAAAGAGGGTTTAGGATCCCATAAATTCCTAAAAGGCGTTTCATTCACCTTAATCTGGTGAGTGCATTTGATGTTGGTTTTCACGGGTGGAAGGTGGAAGTTTCTTTATAATAGAAGAAGAATTTGAAAATTTCTGTTTGCACAAACTATTTTTGAATTTTGTGTTTATTAATTTTGATGGACTTCACTATTTATTTAATTTTTTATATATGTTTGCACTTTGTATATTGATTTGATATAGAGGTCTATGTTTGCGCTATTTATATATTTTTTACAATTTGTGTTGATCACATTGCACAGCAGCAGGATAGAACCTATAGTAGGGTGTTTCACTAGGCGCAGGAAGAGTTTTTACTTAGCAGGAATTGCCTTTTTTTTCTAAACAAAAGCGGAGCCACTATAAGGGCTCATTTAGACGTGTCAAGTAATTTGAGTGCCCATTAATGCACCTAATGCGTTATGCTGCATCTAACAGCGCATCTTTGACATGTTTGCACTGTGTTAAACGCTTGCCAGGCGCACTCTGCCTTAGTACAAGAATCAGTAACAAAGAAATCTCGCCTAGTAACACTTTAACGCATCTCAAACATGCTGTAAAGGGGCGTTTGTGGCATATGTAAGTTTACATGGACATCAATGACAAGTGGAGTCAATTTTGATGAAACACCAACGAGACAATGTGAACATTGGGCATTGCAATGCATACAATTTTGACAAGCATTTGTGGATCTTCAAAAATGCTCATGAAATACCTGCTAGTGGAAAAGCCTAACAACTGGGAAGAACAAAATTATTGCAATTTAAAGCGAAATTGAAGTACATTTTTTTTAAATAAATGAGATGGTAATAACAGAACTTGCATGCACTTTCTGAATTTCCTTCTCAAAGTCTCATATGGCCGCTCTGCCAGACTCCTGTTATGTTGATGCCCCTTGTGCCCGACGGGTCCTATGGAGTCCTGCAGGAGTCTCCTCTATGTGCATGCTCCCGTTCGTTACACACAGCTGTTCATAGCACTGGACAGTCTGTGCGAAAGGGACACTGAGCCAAAGCCATGACTCTCCTCCTCCACAGTAGCAATTCACAGCATTGGAGCCACTGACGATTATCATTGTGTTGGAGGAGAGGCGAAAGTGGGGCCCTGTGTTCTATATTAGAATTAACGATATTGCTAAAAGTATTGGTTGGCCTGCATTTACACGCACATGAAGGTTAATGGCATCCCATTCTTAGTCCGTAGGGTTCAATATTGAGTTGGCTCACCATATGCAACTATATCAGCTTCCATTCTTCTGGGAAAGCGGTCCACAAGGTTTAGGAGTGTGTCTATGGGAAAGTTTGACCATTCTTCCAGAAACGCATTTGTGAGGTCAAGCACCGATGTTGGATGAGAAGGCCTGGCTCACAGTCTCCACTCTAATTCATAGCAAAGGTGTTCTGTTGGGTTGAGGTCAGAACAGGTTAAGTTCCTCAACCAAAACTCGCTCATCCATGTCTTTCTGAAATCGCAGAAGGCTGCCCACAAGGTTTAGGAGTGTGTCTATGGGAATGTTTGACCATTCTTTCAGAAGCGCATTTGTGAGGTCAAGCACTGATGTTGGATGAGAAGGCCTGGCTCGCAGTCTCCACATGAATTCATCCCAAAGGTGTCCTTTTGGGTTGAGGTCAGGACTCAAGTAAAGTTCCTCCACCCCAAACTTGCTCATCCATGTCTTAATGGACCTTGCTTTGTGCACTGGTGCATAGTCATGATGGAACACGAAGGGGCCATCCCCAAACTGTTCCCACAAAGTTTGGAGCATGAAATTATGTCTTAGGGTTTCCTAATACTTTTGGTAATATAGTGTGTATGTATCTATATATCTCTCTCTAGATCTCCTCCCTTCCATCAATATCACTTTTGAGGTCACAAAAATTGTCATTTTGCAAAAGTAAATAAAGTATTTAGACTGACTGGGTTAAAAATCTTGCTCAAACAAGTAAACAAATCAATGCAAATCAATATTAAATACCTGACTAAATAGGCAACCAGTTCATTCACACTGTGCTTCTTCCAAAATGTTAGCGCTACATTTAGCCTGAGATTCCTGCTAAAGAGGACCTGGGACATTATTTCATGATCCTTTGAGACCTGCAAAAAGATCTGAAATCGTTACACAACTACAATTCACAATAGTGTACAGAAGCAACTCACATAAGTTTCATGCAGTAATCAATATTGAATGAAAAAGGAAAAAAAAAAAAAAAAAAAAAAAACAAAAAAAAAACCCCACACAAGGTCTTCGTAAACGTAATACCTACAAGAGATCTTTCAAATGGCACGTTTTCTCACTTTAGTGGTCAGCCTACAAATCTTTCCCATTTAACATAAAGAAAAAAAATTAAAAAATAAACAAAGCCTGGGTTCATTAACACTTATGTGAAGAACTTTTTTTTTCTGCACTTTAGCAAGTCTCCATAAGGCCTGCAGGAAACATTTGATTTCCATTTGTTCTGTTCACACTACAATGGAGTGGAGAGGTGTAAAAGTTCTCCTGAAGTCTTAGTCCCTGCATTTCTATGCCCTGCAGTGTGAGACCCCACCCATGGCAGAACAAAACACCCCACATACATTGCCTGGGGGAACTTTTGAAAAAATAACTATTTATTCTTTGAGAATGGACATACGCTTACAAAATACTGCACCAACTGATAACATACATACAGTTGCAAGAGAAAGTATATGAACCCCTTGGGATTACGTGGAGTTTTGCATGAATTGGGCATAAAATGTGCTCTGAACTTCATCTAAGTCACAACAATTGAAGAACACAGTCTGCTGAACATAATACTACACAAACATTAGATGTTGCCATGGTTTTTAATTGCACATAACATGTAAACATTCACAGTGCATGGAGGAAAAAGTATGTGAACCTTTGGACTTAACTGGTTGACCCTCCTTTTGGCAGCAATAACCTCAACCAAACATTTCCTGTAGTTGCAGATCAGACCTGCACAACGATCTGGAGTAATTTTGGACCACTCCTCTTCACAAAAAGGTTTCAGTGTAGCAATATTCTTGGGATGTCTGGTGTGAATCGCTCTCTTAAGGTCATGCCACAGCATTTCAATCGGGTTGAGGTCAGGACTCTGACTGGGCCACTCTAGAAGGTGTATTCTGTGCTGTTGCAGCCATTGTTTTGTTGAATTACTTGTATGCTTTGGGTCATTGTCCTGTTGCATCACCCATCCTCTGCGGAGCTTCAGTTGGCGGACAGATGGTCATACGTTTTCCTGCAAAATGTCTTGATAAACTCTGGAATTCATTTTCCCATCAATGACAACAATCCGTCCAGGCCCTGAGGCAGCAAAGCAGCCCCAAACCATGATGCTCCCTCCGCCATGTTTTACAGTGGGGATGAGGTTTTGATGTTGGTGTGCTGTGCCTTTTTTTTCTCCACACAGTGTTGTGTGTTCTTCCCAAACAACTCAATCTTGGTTTCATCTGTCCACAGTATATTTTGCCAGTAGTGCTGTGGAACATCCAGGTGCTCTTTTGCAAACTTCAAACGTGCTGCAATATTCTTTTTGGACAGCAATGGCTTCCCCCGTGGTGTCCTCCCATGTACTCCATTCTTGTTTAATGTTTTCCTTTTGTAGATGTGTCAACAAAAATGTTAGCATGTGCCAGAGATTTCTGTAGGTCTTTAGCTGACACTCTGGGATCCTTCTTTACCTCATGCAGCACTCTGCGCTGTGCTCTTGCAGTCATTTTTACAGGACGACCACGCCTAGGGAGAGTAGCAACAGTGCTAAACTTTCTCCATTTGTAGACAGTCTGTCTTACCGTGGACACATGAACATCAAGGCTTTTGGAGATACTTTTGTAACCCTTTCCAGCTTCATGCAAGTCAGCAATTCTTGATCGTAGGTCTTCTGAGAGCTCTTTTCTGCCAGGCATGGTTCACATCAGACAGTGCTTCTTGAAACCAGTAAACCCAAAACAGGTTTGTGTTTTTTAAGGGCAGGACAGCTGTCAGCAACACATCCAATATCATCACACAGATTGGAGTCAAGGTTGGCTCACTCCTGGCTCCAATTAGCTCTGGGAGAAGTCATTAAGCTAGGGCCTCACATATTTTTCCTCCCTGCACTGTGAATGTTTACATGTTATGTGCAATTAAACCATGGCAACATCTAATGTTTGTGTAGTATTATGTTCAGCAGACTGTGTTCTTCTATTGTTGTGACTTCGATGACGTTCAGAGCACATTTTATGCCCAATTCATGCAAAACTCCACGTAATCCCAAGGGGTTCACATACTTTTTCTTGCAACTGTATGGTAAAATGTAAAGGTCTGCACAATAAAATCCTTGCATATTGGAAAAAAAAACAACCCATTAATAAATTAGTAAACAATGCACAAGAATGCAATAACACATGGTCAGGCCTTCATAAATTACGGGATTACAGGCTGCTTTGTAGCAATGTTAATTAGCTTCAGCACAAATGACACACTTGCTAAAAATGAATCCAATACATAAAACAGCTCGATTTATGCCGATTAGAAAGTAATACCTCTGTGAAGAAGCTGCTATACTTTGAAGAAGCTCCCTCGGTCTGAGTAGAGCCTGAGTCACTGGAGTTCAATACAAAGGTGTGTCTGTCGTTTTGGAGCTTATCCTGCAGGTTTCCTCCCGCCAACTCATTTTCCTTATTTGCCATTTCACAGTCCCAGCCTTTCAGATGCTGTTTTCTTCTATAGGCAGGGCTAAGGGCTTTCCTCTTGAAAACCACCACTTTATAAAGCTGCTGATTGCTGTTCGTAAAACAAAGACACAAGCTGATTTATATCCCGGTTATTGGAAACAAATGCTATACACCTGATCTATACATTCACCTTCTTCATTTCAACCTTTTGGATTTTCACATTAAACACCAGCTCCAAAATTATAGAAACCCCCTCCCCAGTGTAAAAAGCATCTTCTTATTTTATAAACAGGTCTAACTTTCATTTTATTAACTACTTGCCCTTTAGAGTATTCACCCCCCTTCCTGACCAGGCCATTTTTTTGCAAAATGGCGCTGTATTACTTTTACTGACGTTGTACATAAATTAAATTTATGTAATTTTTTTCCCACAAATGGAGCTTTCTTTCAGTGGTATTTGATCACCTCTGCATTTATTTTTTGCGCTATAAACCAAAAGAAAGACCGACAATTTTGAGAAAACAAAAAAATGTTTTTTACTTTTTGCTAAAAAACATCCAATAAATTTTTTTATTTTTTTTGTAATCTAAATTTCTTCATAAAGATAAGGCTAAAATGTATTCTGCTATATGCCTTTGCTTACAATAAAAAAAAAGCCCAATATGCATAAATTGGTTTAGGTGAAAGTTATAGTGTCTACAAACGGCAGTATATATACTGCAATCTAAAAACAAAAAATGTTTTTATACTAGTAATGGCATCGACCAGCGACTTATGGCAGGACTGCGGCTGGCATTCTGACACTAGGTGGAAACTGCCACCGACATCCCCAGTGATACTAACACAGTGATCAGTGCTAACAAAAAGCAAAAGGGGCTAACATCTGGAGCAATCAAAGGGTTAACTGCGCATTTTACTTGGGAGACATGCTGTTTTGTATCGCTCTGCTGTGCAGAAAGATACAAAACAGCATTTCCATTTAATAAGTTAATTATCATTAATTTAATAATAACAACAACAAGAGAGCTGTGTTTTGTTTATGCACCGGTCTCTCCCCTGTGAGCTTTCCCTAACAATCGCCGAGTGCCAAAGTATAGGTAGCACTTTGTCCCATCTTCCTATTGCTCTCTACGGCTAGCTGTAAGATCACAGAGAAAACCCCTCCTCGCTCCACCGCTGTCCAATAATGCAGCTAGCAAGAAGGTGGCCGATTTTGACAAATGGTATTTTTCTCCATTTCCAATCACCTGATAAACGTCACTGAATGTGGGGGAAGGGGGCAACGACATGTTCGTGGAGTCAGAAAAAACTGCCGTTTGTCGAAGCAGTTCTTTGCTAGCTGCATTGTTAGACTGCCTTGGAGGATGGAGCGCACAGTCCGACCTCACAGCTAACCTTAGACAACACATAGGAAGATGGAACATTAGTATCAAACGTCCTTTGTTTCCCAGGAAAAAAAATGGAATTCTTAAATTACATTCCTTGAAGCACTTTGTAAAATCCTGCGATGTGCACAATAGCCTCAGCATTCCAGGTATTCTCCCTCCTCATTGACTGACAGCCATTGGCTGCCGTTGCTGTCAGTCAGTCAATGAGAAGAGAGAAGGGGTGGGGCCAAGCCACAGCTCTGTGTGTTAATGGATATGTGAAGCAGTGGGTGCCCCCATAGCAAACTGCTTGTTGTGGGGGTACCTGACAGGAGGGAGAGGCCAGGAGTGCCAAAGGGAACCTGAGAAGAGGAGGATCCGGGCTGCTCTGTGCAAAACCACTGCACACAGCAGGTATAGACATGTTTATTATTTAAACCCCCCCCCCCCACACACACACACACCTTTAGAATCAGAGCAGAATTTCAAGCAGAACTGCATGAAATTCCCCCCCCCCCCCCCCCCCCCCCCCCATGCACTGCATAGGTTAACTGCTTATTTTGTCCAGGGGCACACACAGAAAGGCTATCTTATCCGATCTGCCAATCCTCCAAAAAACAGTGCTCCCCCACGTCCAGTGATGGACTGTTCCTGTCGTCCTCACATTCAGAGCTGGTCTATCGACATGATAGCGTCAGGAACAGTCCGTGCCAATAAGGAGAGGGGCCGAGCCACGGCTGTCCATGCATGGACATGCAGAGCTGCAGCTTGGGAGCATGCCTGTTCAGGTGCCCCTATAGCAAGTTGCTTGCTATGGGGGCACACAACAAGAGGGAGGGGCAAAGAGCACTGGCTGGGGACCCAAGAAGATGAGGATCTGGGCTGCTCTATGCAAAACCACTGCACACAGCAAGTAAGTATAGAAAACGGGTTTTTTTTTTCTAAATTAAATTTTTTATTAAAAATAGATACTAGTATCATTATGATAAAAAAAGTTCCTCAATTTCACAGAACACCAATTTAATCATTTTGCATCTGTGCTGCTGATCTCCTCAGGGCTCTTTCAGCTACCTCCTGTATACATTTCCTTGCATCATCATTAGCTGCATATGATTGTTCTGGATCAGCTTCATGATTGTGAACCATGCCTGTGTAGTGCGGATGGCACAGCTCAACCAAGTGTATATGCAAGAGAACGAAGAGACAGCTGACATACTTCGTGGCAGAGTGAAAAAGGTAATTTTTTTTTTTAGGCTAGGTTCACAATAGTGCAGTGATCCGATTTTCAAGGTGATTTTGTGGTGCAACTACAGGGCTACTAGGTGCATTTCGAGAAGTTTTAAATGTGTGTCCTGCTACTGCAACTCATCCCGGCTGTCAGGAATTCTAGCAACGATGAATCTTCTCCACTGACAGAACAAAAAAAATAAAAAAAATATATATATATATATATATATATATATATATATATATATATATTTATATATATTTATTTATTAATTAGTGTGCCGGCCCCCCCCCCCCTTTCAAATCCATACGGTCTGGTAAGGATTTTAAGGGGAACACCTCACAAAATAAATAAAAAATGCGTGTGGGTCCCCTGAAAATTATACCAGGCCCTTAACTGAGAATGCAGGCAGGAAAGGGTGGGGGTTCAGGGAATGAGTGAGCAAATGGCCCCCCCAGCCAAAATTCCAACCACTCCCATTGATTGACACTTGCCGAATGCCAGTGCAGCTTCCCCCCAGCTGCTAAGCAAAGGGGAGGGATCACCCAATGAAATCACAAGGTGACTCCACCCTATGATGTTATGACATATGACTATTTCTCCTGAGGTTACCTGTGGGTTTGTCCTTGTATCCCAAACAATTCTTTTGGCAGTTGTGGCTACAATCTTTCTTGGTCTACCTGACCTTTGCTTGATATCAAGAGATCCACAAACTTTCTGCTTCTTAACACGAGTGAGCAGTACTGACTGGCATATTCAAGGCTTTGGATAGCTTTATATCCTTTTCCAAAGCTCCATTACCTTGTTATACAGGTCTTTTGAGTTATTTTCTGCTCCCCACAGCTCAGCATCTAGCCTGCTCAGTGCATCCACGTGAGAGCTAACAAATTCACTATTTATACAAGAACACTTGTTGCAATGTAAAAAATCCCAGATGTGGGAAATTAATCATTAATTGCCATTTTAGCCTGTGCGTGTCACCTTGTGCGTCTGTAAGAAGACCAACATTCCAGAGTATGGAAATTTTTGATAAGGGCCATTTGGGCGATTTCTGTTATTATGATTTAAAAAGGAGCTATGGTAAATGGCTTTATATGATCACTATTCTTAAATCAAACAGATGCAGTTACCATTTTACACCTACCTGTTTTCCAAAGACTCTCCTTGTCCTTGTGAAAGACGGTCCTGTAAAATGTAAACAACATATAATGTAGATGGAAATTTAAATAAGCCTAATAGTTTATTTCAACTTCCTTACAAAAAAAGGTTAAATCTTATCTAAACCCAAACAAGTTTTTTGTATTGTCACTAACCAGTCCTTAGCTGTGGTGGCTAAATTTTTTTTTTTTTCAGGCTAAAGACCATTTTCAACAATTACAGAATATGCCTGTTCACCTTGCCACAAATGCCATGTCCTTGTTACCTCCTGTAAGCTAAAAAGAAAAAAAAATTGGGGAGAAGAAGTTTAAATCTTTGTGATATCGAAGTGAAGGGGTCTGGTGGAGCTCAGTTATGTGGATGCTTGAAAGCCCAGAGCAAGAACTGGTATAAAAGCAGACTGCCTTGTGCGTATGTCATATATAATATGCTTGAAATAATTACCGACCTTCATGCGAGGTCATACAGGATGAGTGTATCTTGGCGGAAGGATAAAAACGTGGTCCTTCCATGTGATCCTTTAATGTGATGAGCGGCCTCAGTGACCAAAAGCGAGACTTAAAAAAAAACACCCCACCAAAAAACAAACTTTAGGGGAAATAATGAGTAATGCATTTGCACTTCAACTGCATGCATCTCAGATTTTCAGAACGGGTACTTGTGCACGGTTCTGCAATGGCTGTATCCCTCGAACACAGCACATCACAGATCGGGATATGGGCTCTCTGATTGACCCTCCCCATCACGTGATGGCTGTATCCATGGAACGTAAACAGAGACATGTGTCTCTGTAGAAGTGCTCCCCATTGAGCTCAGTATGGGGGGAGGGGGTTGAGAGTGGGGGATGCTGCAGCCTGTTCCAGATTTTCTGTGTAACCAATTTTGTTGTTCAGCTACACAGATTGCAGCCATCCCACACCAGTGCACCAAGCACAATATGTCCACAGTGCACACTAACATCTGTCACAGTGTAGCAATCCACAATCTGTCAGTTTACCAGTATCCTATCAAAATTTGCAATAGTGTCCCATTGCAAAATCAACATCTGTCAGTGTCCCTAATCAACCGTCAACATCTGCCACAGTATAGAAATGCACAAAAACATCTGTCAGTGTACCAATGTCCCATCTGTCACAGTGTACCAGTTGTGGTGTGATCAGATGCTTTCAAGAGGAGACATCTGGGGCCTAAGAAACCCCAGATTTCTTCATAAAGAGTTCCTTGTGACAATAACAGTGATTTTTTTTTTTTTCAGCCACCGCCACAACAGAACACAATTGTGACAAAGACCAGTGAATAAAACCAAACATCAAAACACATGGAATTTTATAAGATGCTAAAGAGTCTGCAGAAAGCTTAACCCTAATTATCAGTGTAGGTGGCAGGTAACTAAAAGACAAACTTTCTTGGCAGGGAAGCATCAGGTTTTAGCATTTAGCCATTTAAAGGGCAACAGCATTGTTTATAAATCATACATATTTTGCAGTGTTCTTGATAAATTGCATAAAATAACTTGTACCTCCTTCATGTTCTGCTTAGGTGAAGGAGAGACCCTCTTTTTTGAGTGATCATCAGTTCTACTGTCAAGTAGGTCCCGCTTATTAACATGGCAGGCCCCTGGTGCCATAATGTACAGAGAATCTGTAATAACACACAAAAGTTGTTTAATGTAAAAACACTCATGTATATTAGGCTTACTGGTCATTTACCAATGCAAATAATGTTGGAGTGTACAGTTTTGCATCTTACACAGCACAGTCACCTAGGTCCTCTTAAAATACAATATACTGACAGTACTTTGCCTGCCATGCAAGCCAAATTCTTCAAAAAGGTCAAGAAAGCTTTATAAGCATTACTAATTACTGGAAGAGGCCCCCAAAAAAAAAAAAAAGGCATTGCTAGAAACCCAAACATTGCTGCTACTCAGCCCAGACTCTTCTTTATAACACTTACTTCTCATTGTTGTTCTAAAGGCAGAAGGATTTTTTCCTTTAAAATGCATTCTATGCAGTAAAGTTCACCTTTAAAAAACATAATGCACATTTGTTTTCGCAGGCAAAAAAATGATGCATTTATTAGTTATTTGTTGGGAGACTGAAGCATTGCTTCCACAAACTGTGTGTAGCTGTCTGCCCATACCTCCAATATGGGCAGGCAGTTACACAATGACATGAAGTTCAATGAACGGAGCTCAACAGCACCCTGGAAGTTCACTGGAAACTACAAACAGAACTTGCAGTTTTCCCATTCACAGGCTACTGTGAATGAATGATTTTTTCAGACTGACAGCCAGTGGGGGATGATGATCCTCAGCTAGCAGTCAAAATGAAAGATGGGATCATCTGAACATAATATGCTCTAATATGGGTATACAATGTTACAAAACGTGAACCTATCCTTTAAGGTAAAACACCTTCTGTGTTCAGCATCCCCCTTATCTCAATCCAGTGCTGCGCCCGAAAGCAGCAGCTCTCTCCTTTTCCTCACTGAACAAGGAGGCCGTTGTCAAATAAATCCTGTGAGGAAGGAGCAGGTGGCGAGGCCAGACCGCACTCAGTGTGTCGATGGACACACAGAGCCTGGCTTAAAGGATAAGTTCACCTTTCAGTAAAAAATAATAAGTGTACTTTTTTTGCAGGTAAAAAAAAAAAGTGCATTTATTATTTTTTGTCTGCAGGAGCCTGGAAAGCATTGCACCAGCCATCATCAGATCTCTGGTGCCACGCAGGTCTGCAGATGTCAGTATATCCGTTTGATCATATGGGATCTACCCGAAAGCAGATATACTGAGAGGAAGAATGAATGAACTACCACGGTGCTCCACATATTGCTGACACGTTTTATCATGTATATGTGTAAAAAGTATCTTGTTCTATTTTCATTGCTTCCTTTGTGTGAAATACCCCCTGATCCTGTCAGTTCCCCTGCTCTCCTGTTTCAAATGACCATGCCAGGCATGACAGCACACCCCTTCCCAGCATGGTTACTTTTATGGCTGTGCTGGGACAACAGCCTGTCTGCCCTCCAATGATCAGACTTACACATTTCATGGTTACTCGTGGCCAATGACAACAAAACAATGAAAGGCAAAATGAGTGTGGCCTAGGCTGGTGCATTGCCAACATTAGGGCCATCTACCTGAGAACATTGGAATGCCTTTAAAGTGATATTGGCGATGTTTTATTTAGATACTTTGTTTTTGTATCCTTCTGAGCACTGATCCATGCTTACCTAAGCTGACAGGATTGCTGGATTTACTGAGTTCTGGGGAGGTTTGCTTGAGCCCTGGGAGAGTCCAGCTGCATTTATGGAGTCCAACTGATTTGATTAAAAGGTGCAGTACGGAGGTGGACACACCCCTGGCTGACAAAGGAAAAGCTGCAGAGCACCACGGCGTGATACTCTGCACGAGGCACTGGGGGGTACAAATCAAACCTGAACTCTGGAAAGAATGTCATAAGCAGCCAACTCCACCTTCCCAACCCATAGCTTCCTATCAGCAGACATGGAGGCAGGTGAGGGGAACTTAAAGATGCTGCACAGGCACCCAACATCATAGGTTAGGAGGATGTGGACAGGCAGCCCTACACAGGTTAAGGGCTTGTATTTGCATCCTTTGGCTTTTAACCCCTTGATGCTGATGTCACAAATATGCGGCCCTCATAGAACTGGGCTTTTTTTTCCGCATATTTGCATACCTGTCTTTGTGCTGGGAGCGTGCCGCACAGCGTGCTCCCAGCACGAAGACCGGGGTGTCACTGAGAGCCCCAGGTCCCGTTCCAACGATCGGGACCTGGGACGCCCGATTCCGGGTCACATGATCGCTCTGATAGCTTCTGATTGGCTATCACAGTGATCAGTCACTGTACAGCCCGACCCCTTTTTTTTTTCCTCTATGAATGGAGGAGAGAGACACATTGTATCTCTAACTCCTGGCATAGAGGGGGAAAAAAATAAAAATAAAAAAAAATACCTAGATCAAGGTTTGATCTAGTTCAGTATCAAGGTAAGTGTTTGGGTCAAGGTCAAAAGGTCAGGATTTTTTTTTTTTTTAAATAGCGTGCTTTTTGTATACCTAAAACACACTGACACTAATACTATTTTTTTGTATAGTTCACAGACTATCAGTGCTGAAGAAAAATTGCTTATTTGTAAAATTTTCTAACATAAATTAAGATTTTTTTTTTTAATTTTCAGTATTTTTTTGGTTTAGCAAAAAAGAAAAAAAAATCCCAGTGGCGATTAAACACCAGCAATAGAAAGATCTATCTACATATATAAAAAAGAAAAAAAAAAAAAAGATAAAAATGTCATAGATGTACAGTGTTGCGTAACTGAGTAATTGTCAAAGCGTGACAGCGCTGAAAATTGGCCTGGGCAGGAAGGGGGTGAAAGTGCCTGGTAGGCAAGTTTTACCTTTAAAAAAAAAAAAAAAAAAAAACCCCACACGTCAGCAGAGCTAAAGTTTTTTTCTTTCACCGTGTGTGAACCTGTGTCTTACATCTGTAAAGATGCACATTAGGGCTACATACAGGGGTGTAGAAATTAAAAAAAAACAAAAAAAACCAAAAACACTTGTCCAAGGGTTGATGTTTTTTCATTATGAAGAGCTGCTTTTAGGAATGTCTGGGGCTTTAAAAAACAAAAGGGGCTTTATAGCTACTTAAACATTTAACATTGCTGCTGCCCTTCCCTCCTAGATTGTAAGCTCCAAGGGGCAGGGCCCTCAAATCCCTCTTATATTGACCTGTATTGTCTCCCGTTATATTGTAAAGCGCTGAGCAAACTGTTGGCGCTATATAAATCCTGTATAATAATAATATTGCGCTGTGTATCTCATCACCTCCCTGCCTGTCTCCAGCATCACACCTAGGGACTAGCAGGGAGGGGAGAGACCTTGTAGTGTGAAACACTGATTGGGTGCTCCTCAGGAAAAGTTAATGTCTGGCTCCTTAACCATTTGACACCCGGCCTATGGCCGAATGGCGTCCGTAAAAATGTATTAGCTTTCTGGGAGGACACCATATGGCACATGCGCAGTTCGTGCACTTGCAGAGCCATGCAGCGACGCGATCTGTCACCGGCCGTGTACCTCGGACACGGCCGATGACAGATCTGAGTACCGGCCCCTGTTGCCGGTACCATGTGACCTGCTGTGACCAATCACAGCAGGTCACATGACAGTTGTATACAATGGATGGCTTCATTCATGCCATCCATTGTATACTACTGCCTAGCTGTGAATGGTCACAGCTAATTAAATGCACATGTCATGTGATTAGCTGTGGCCAAATCACAGCTAAGCACAAAAAAAAAAAAAAAAAAAAAACCCTGAATGAATTGATGTCATTCAGGTAAATGTTTGCTTATAGCAAAGTAATTCTTTGCTATAAGCAAATTGTGTAAAAAAAAAAAAAAATAATACTAATCCCTTCCCCAAAGTAGTACAATGTTACTATGGTAACATTGTACTACTTTGGACATAGTGAAATATGAGAAAAGAAAAAAAAAAAAAAAAAATATATATATATATATATATAAATATATATATATATATATATATATTTTTTTTTTTTTCCCCCCCCACACTGTCACCATTCAGTGTCCCTGATCACCGCCATGCCAGTTATATGATGACACTGTACTGCACTGGTGACAGTATGTAACAAAAAAAAAAAAAAGTAGAGAAAATAATTTTTTTTATTTTTTCATTTTCCGAAAAATTATGACAAAAAAAAACACAACTTCAAAAAACTCGCCATGCCTCTTATGAAGTACGTCGGACTGTCTACTTTGCAAAAAGTGGTCATTTGGGAGATATCTGTACTGTTCTGACATTCTTGGACCTCAAGAAATTAGATTGGCTGTCAGTACTTCAGGATTGATCAATATTCAGATCTATACCATAGTTTGTGAACTCTATAACTTTCCTACAAACTAAAAAATACATCCCAATATGGGTTATTTTCACCAAAGACATGTAATAGAATACATCTCGGCCTAAATTTATGAAGAACAAATATTTATTTGCAAACTTTTATAACAGAAACAAAGAAAAACTTTTTTTTTTCAAAATTTTCTGTCTTTTTTGTTAATTTAGCAAAAAATAAAAACCCCAGCGATTATTAAATACCACCAAAAGAAAGCTCTAGTTGTGTGAAGAAAATGATAAAATTTTAATTTGGGTACAATGTTGTATGACCGCGCAATTGTCAAAGTGTGAGAGCGCTGAAAGCTGAAAACTGGCCTGGGCAGGAAGGTGTAAAATTGCCTGGTATTGAATTGGTTAAACACTCAGCAGAAGCGCAGTAAATAAGGTGCCAGCCCCAATGAAAGGAAAATATATATTTATTCCTTCAGGTTACCCTTGCACATGAAAACACTTGGGTGCTCAGTACTAGCACCTGCCAAATAATGCACAGGTGTCTGTTCCAATCACACACGGGCTTTTTGCTGCCTATGTGTGAGTGGGCAAATCTGTCATCTATTAGCTCAGTTTCCTGTTACAAGTTGTGTTAATATCGGAATTGTTTGTTTTGCCTTTTTCACAGACGGACGCTACGAGATATCCTTTAAATTATTCTGGGGGTTGTGTTTCCTGTCCGGTGGGCAGATTCATCCTTCCAA